TATCTCACCAGTTAGCCCGGGAGGCGCTGGGAAAATCTGTCGAGTGTGCCAAACCACAGCACGACAAAAATGTTTGCAGAGTCCAACACAAAGTCGGTGATGCAGTATGGTTCCTGGTCAAAAGCACAAAGAGAATAAAGAACAAAGTGCGGGAGTTCCTGCCTTCCTACGAGGGTCCGTACTTCGTCGTGGGTGTACTGGACGATTTGGTCTACCGGATTAAAAGGGGCCCGAGGACGAAGATGAAAGTCGTTCATCACGACAAACTTAAAGCTTACCATTCCAGGACAACACTAGACAACGACTGGGTCTTTCAAGAGGCTGAAACGTGGGCACCAGTGGAGGCGCCACCCCTGTTGTCAGACCCCAGCTCTTCAGAAATCGATCGACCTTTGGGGCACATAACCAGAGACAGAGGAGCCTGTGGTGGGGTCCCTTCCAGGTCTTTTCTCTTTGCCACCATCATTGGCAGCTTCACCGAGCAGCAGCCAGCTCCCTTGCCACCCCGCTGAGCCTTCACTGGATGAGGCTGGGACCCGGCATGAGGCTAGGGGACAAGCTGCTCGCCCCCTTTTGAACTCTGCATAGTTTTTTTTATAGCATCCTGGGTGTGTTTACTGCTTAGAACTTTATTGAGCATGGGTGTGAAAACATGATGCAACCAAAAAAAAAAAAAAGTTACATTTGTTTAACAGAATATTTTGCCCTAGTTTTGCACCTAAAATCCTGTACCCTGGAGTAACTTTACGCTAACGTGGGTTAGTGTTATGGACATTTGCTTAGGACATTTGCTTACATGTACAAACGAAGGAGTATGCAATATGCTTTAATGGACGTTTTATGGACATTGCTTTTTCACCTTAACTTTCAACTGGAGGAGGGCCTTTCAAGGACTGTGGGAAACACGGGTTATGGTTGGGGATGTTTGTATAATGACTGTCTAATTAATATTTTCCTGTGTAGAGTGTAATCATGCTGGAGATATGTTAAAGGTTTAATCATTCTCCAGAGTGGGGGTAGTTTTGCAATCTCTGCCTCCCCCTGTCGGCTTGTTGTAAAAAATGCGTATGTGTGACGTAGTGGGGCAGGTGAATTATGGGAGTGTAAACATAGTTTCAGCTAAATTCAGTCTGAGTTTACGGTGCGAATGTAGTAGTGACGCAGGCTATGGTCCAGTTGAATGTTAGCAAGCAAAGTACCTTTTCTGCCCGTATACCACTGAGAGTAATAAAGCCCTAGTTCATTGTTGCAACCAAAGTCTCTTTGTTTTGTGCTTCGGCTCTGTTAGCCCGGACAACTAGACGCAAGTTACCTGCCACGAGCCAAGCTATTATGTTGAGACCAGCTCGCTCCCAACTACGGTTTGGGGCGTGGAAGCTGTAAAGGAACACATATTATGATGCATTCAATACACCTAAGATCTGATACAAGTAAACTGCAAAAGTAAAAAGCACAAAAAATCTATTTCATTACATTTCGCACATTTAGATACAATTCGTATACATTAGATACACATTCATACTTTTGTTTGTTATCAGTAAAACTTATTTGACCTGAAATTAATTGATTTGAGATAAATGGACAGAATCTCCACTAGAGGGCCAGACAAGCTGTCAATTGGTTATTGGGGCCCTTTTCAGCATACAGCCCCACTGACATTAAAACCCTTTTAATCTGACTGTGACCCAAAGTCTGTCCACATGGGACATATTGTGCTTATCAGCAAATAACTGCCTCATCACAACATATTCCCATATAAACACATCTACACTCATTACACTCAATACACTGCATTAGAAATTGCAACCAGTTGTTTTAAATACCTGTATTATAAAGTGATTACAGTCACTGGTTTGTGAGGGATTACAGTCAGAAGAAGAGCCCCATGTTTTGTACACATATTTAGCACATATTTAAAGTTTCTAATGAATCTGTTGTCTTATTGTGCAGAATATTTTATATGCATGCTTAACTCACTGTTTAGAGAGCGTGAGTGGATGTGTGTGTGTGTGTGTGTGTGTGTGTCCAGCGTGTGTGTTTCTTAGGGGATTAGAATTGTGTGAGTGATTGGTGCTGACAGCGGTCTGTGTATTACTGGCTGGCCTGCAGATTAAGCCGCTCCTTTTTAGACTGCCTAATCTGGATTAACTGATGCAGTGTGCCTGCAATGATGCGGCCCACTACCCCCCTCTCTCTCTCTCTCTCTCTCTCTCTCTCTCTCTCTCTCTCTCTCTCTCTCTCTCTCTCTCTCTCTCTCTCTCTCTCTCTCTCTCTCTCTCTCTCTCTCTCTCTCTCTCTCTCTCTCTCCCTCCTTCCCTCCTTCCCTCTATCTCTCCTTTCCTCTCTCTCTTTCTTTATTTTTTATCTATCTGTCACCCCACTCGCCCTTCTTCACCCCAATCAATCTTCACATTTTTCTTTCCTTTACCTCTATTTGCGTAGGAACATTTTGTTTATTTCATCTATGTTACTCTCCACTCAGATTAAATGTTTGTTGCAATGTCAATGTGTCTGCTGTGTATTTTTATGCTAATGTGTTCTGGAGTGTGTGTGTGTGTGTGTGTGTGTGTGTGTGTGTGTGTGTGTGTGTGTGTGTGTGTGTGTGTGTGTGTGTGTGTGTGTGTGTGTGTGTGTGTGTGTGTGTGTGTGTGTGTGTGTGTGTGTGTGTGTGTGTGTGTGTGTGTGTGTGCCTGTGGATTAGAGTTTAGTCCACTTCCATAATTGCTCTTGTGCCTGCATAGCCGGTTGTTGCCAGATGGACGGACTGGTCCCCCCACCCCCCTCTGCACCACCCTCCACAAAACTTTGCCTTCTGCAAGCGCACAAGCCCAGATCCTGAACACATAAACATACAAACATCCTATACTGACACAGAACAACAACAAATCATCTCTTCATAATTTTACTGGTTTTACGCAAAAAACAACCATCACTGAAAAACTGCCATGTTGTATGATGTGCTAATCTGAGCAAAGTATAAAAAAATTAAATTAAAAAAAGTAGCCTGATTATTAGTTTGTTGCATAAATAAACATACAAACAAGTAAATAATCATTTCTTGTTTGGTAATGATATTGTCTTTAATTCTTTCTTCTTCATGTTAGTTTTTTACTTGCATATTTCATTCGTATTGTATAACAATATATATTAATAAAAAATATTTTATATTCTGAAGACTTGTTTTGCCCTTTGTCCCTTGCCTGTGGAGTTTGTATTGTACTTAAAAGGGATGACGTCTAGTCACAGCCAAATAACCCTGTCTGCTCTGTCTGTTTAAAGCCAACCTATCACATTCAGTTCATCTTGAGTGCCAAATGACACCTTTCTCTTACCTCTCTCCCTCTCTGTCACTAACATATTTACACTGAACCAAACAATCTCTTCAAATAAAACACCATGTTCTTTCTATAGAAAACATTCTAATTAAAATTTCAAACAGATCAATACAGCAAACTAGTCAACATCCTTCCAAATGGATGTTCTCCTTTCTTCTTTTATCAGGCCCTCCATCACTGGTCAAGATAACACTCGTCCTTCTGTCTTCATCTTGTTTTAATTCATCATTTATCCATACATTCCTTACCTCCTTTTCTTTTCACCCTTTTGGGTCCTGTGATTTTTTTCTATTCAGAACATTCTATTGTTTGTTCTCTTGTGAACTGATGAGAAATCTCTCTTTCCTCTCTTTATAGGGTTAAGGGACTATTCACATAAAGCATATTATGATAATTCAGCAGTCTACGTGTGTGTGTGTGTGTGTCAAGTCAAAAATAAAGTGTAAAGAGTAAATACTCATTTTAGATGCTTTACAAATCATTAGCCTATATCAGATGTGGTGTCAAATATTATTTTAGTGATACTATGCTGTTTTGTGTTTAATCAAGAAATTAATAAACGTTTAATCAGTTAATTGCAATCAATAAAAAGATATGCAACTAAATTCTGATACAAAATTTCTATTATGCCAGTTGCTATGCAAACCTGTTAACACAAGACTGAACAAGAAAATATCCACAAGAAACATTTAACCTATAGCTCATAAAGCCTACGGGAAAAAAACATTTCGATTAACGAATGAAATTTCAGAGTGTAGTCGTCTTATTTATGAGAATTACAGTTGCGTCTAACAGCCTGTCCGATCGCCAAAATATAATGCCAATAAACGAAAAACATTCAGCTAATTCAAATATAATGGTTAATAGCTTGTACACAATTTATAAGATAGAAATAAAAAATCGAATTCTTGATGCAAATTGTAATCTGAATCTAAATTATTTTACGAACAAACATGCACAAGGATTCAATAGCCTCTATACGAATTATATTTATTTTCAATGCGTGTGGGCAGTGTCAGAATTTGTTTGGTCATATATTATAAAGAAACGAGTTCTGCCTTCTGAAATTGGTTTTCAGGCGCATTTTTCGAACTTGTAGCTATAGCCTGCAGCATGTCAAAGACATTTATGGAAAATGCTTGCAGTGAATCAATTAATTAATGGTTGATACGGTTCCTAAATCGATAACTATATCTAGAGAATAGGCCTATTATTAAAAATCTATGACAGATTTTTTTTTAAATGCGGCATTTTGAGGCATCTCTCGTGACATTTTTGCTCCGATCCCTGCTAATTTTCTGTCCATGATATGAGCCAGTAGATTCGCGCCATTTCGATTTAGGCTATCTTCAGAGTTTTTATTTATTAATCGTTTTTAACGATTAAACTTTTTAAAATCTATTTCTTTACTGTCATAGGCTACCACGTGTTTAGATAGGCTACACGTCAAAGTTGGAGAGAGAGAGAGAGAGAGAGAGAGAGAGAGAGAGAGAGAGAGAGAGAGAGAGAGAGAGAGAGAGAGAGAGAGAGAGATGCCCCTTGATTAGCTGCTCGGTCTCTTATTTCTCATAGTGTCCCGCTCCTGTCCGGTCTTGCCCAGGGGACACGCGCCTTAACCAAAGCCAAAACTCTGACCAAGCGTCAAAACTTTTTTTTTAGCTATAATAGTAAATTTACTTTTACTATTTCCTCACATTTAGCTACGCTCATCTTTGATATTCAGGACGATATTAATGACGAGAGTTGTGAGAGTGTAAGCTTGTTCAAGGCACTGAGGACCGGGAAAACAGGTGTTTGGAGCCGCGAGACTGAAGGAGCACCGCACGCGCCAGGCGCGAGCAAAGACACGCGGCCGTCAGGGGCAGAGCGCGACCCCCGACCCGTAAAAAAAAGCGTCACAGAAGAAAAAAGAGAGTGAGAGAGAGGGGTGAGAGAGGGAGGGAGAGAGAGCAATAGAGAGTGTGTGCGAGAGACGCGGCCGTCCCAAGAATGATGTCCTACATAAAGCAGCCCCATTATGCTGTGAACGGGTTAACACTGTCCGCCTCAGGAATGGACCTGCTCCACACCGCCGTCGGCTACCCAGGTCAGTTCTTTCTCATTAATTATTTATAATATGTTTGTTTCAGACATTTTATTAGTTTTGTTGGTCGTTGAAGTCAAAAGAGACGGGACAAACAAAACTAAAAGGTAGCCTCATCTTTCCTGTTTCATTTGTTATGATTGTACCCCTTTCCCCCCTACAATTTAGGCAAAGCGAACATCATTTCACCAGTTGATAGCCATATTAACCGAACTTGCGTGCCCACGTTCTAACAAAAACCAATTACATAAAAATAGATGTCGCCGCTATATATTTAAATTTCGTCTTCACAAAAACGTCAGAGTTTTTTCCGTTGTCAAATTTTAATTTTATGTGATGGTATGTTTTTTTGCTTGTTTATTAAAAGTTTATTATATACAAATAAAAATAATGATCATAATAGTAGGCTACTGAGTGAAGAATACAAATAAGGCTAAATGGGTTAAATACATAGGGTTAAATAGCCTAATATCAATATGTAATCGGCCTAAATCACTAATTCAAACGTCAGAAACGATGTTTTTATGCGCGGCCTTAGTGACGGACCTCGGTCATCACTGACTAGACTTAAGTGTAGCTAAAAAAAACAAGAAAAATACTAAAATACAACCATCTATCTATCTATCTATCTATCTATCTATCTATCTATCTATCTATCTATCTATCTATCTATCTATCTATCTATCTATCTATCTATCTATCTATCTATCTATCTATCTATGATGACAATGGATAGTCCAAATATTTTCTCTCACCAACATCATATTAATGACTGTTACAAGCTCAAATAAAACGATTAGCATTGATGATGCTACCATGTAAAAAACAAACAGTTTTCTAGGCCTACATGTATAGGAAAACCTAAAGTTGTTTCTTACTGTATGATGTCGATGTTTTTATAAATAGCCACTCCGAGGAAGCAGCGTCGGGAGCGCACTACCTTCACACGCACCCAACTGGACATTCTGGAAGCCCTGTTCACCAAAACACGCTACCCAGACATATTTATGAGAGAAGAGGTAGCTCTGAAAATCAACCTTCCCGAGTCCAGAGTTCAGGTGAGTCTTCCTCAAACTGAGACAAACATCTTTCTGACACCTCTCCGACTGCATCTTTCAAACATCTTTCAAATAAAATAAAATACATTTATCCCAGCATCTAACACTCACTTGCTATGATGCAATGAAGGTAAACTGTATCTGCAACTAAATATACAGTGCTGTGTTTAAAGTTGAATCTATTTTAATCTATTTTAATAAGTCACAAGTATTGAAAGTGACCACAACTCTGACAGTGAAAGTCAGTGTGTGTGAGGCCCATTATTAATGCAGATCACATCACATCCATCACAAACACATTCTTTTTGATCTATTGAGAAATGAGCCAAACATTTATTTCATCTTCAACCCCGCTCTTATTTCTCTCAGGTGTGGTTTAAGAACCGTCGTGCTAAATGCCGCCAACAGCAACAGCAGACCAGCGGTCAGCCCAAGCCCCGTCCCCCCAAAAAGAAGTCCTCCCCACCCTCTGAGCTGACCTCTGACCCTGGCACCAGCTCCTCGGTGGCGGCTGCCCCCGCCCAGGCGGTGCCCCCTATTGCCAGCGCAGGCACAGCACCCGTTTCTGTGTGGAGTCCCACCTCTCTATCCCCCCTTCCCGATCCATTGTGTGGCTCCGGCACGCCCTGCGTGCAGCGCCCTGCTCCCTATCCCATGAGCTACGGTCAGCCCTCGACCTATAGCCAGGGCTACAGCTCCTCTCCTTACTTCAGTGGATTGGATTGCAGCCCGTACCTCTCTCCCATGACCACTCAGCTGTCTGCGAGTGGGGGCGCCCTCTCTCCCCTCACCGTGCCCTCCATGGGCGGCTCGCTCAGCCAGTCACCCTCCCTCTCCTCCCAAGGATACAGCACCTCCTCACTGGGTTTCAGTTCCGTAGACTGCCTGGATTACAAGGACCAGCAGGCCTGGAAGCTCAACTTCAGCACCATGGACTGCCTCGACCATAAATTCCAGGTGCTGTAAAAGAGAAAGTGAGGAAGTGAAGAAAAAAAGCAAGAGGGAAGGAGAATTAAGAGACGATGCAGGAAGAATAAATTAAACAGAACTATTGCTTGAAATGCTGGAGACATTTTGATGATGAAACAGGTCTGATTCAGCAGGATTCATGTGATCTCAGAGGAGAAAAGGGGGGCCCATTTTGGAACAGGTTAAGACTCTGTAGTCCAGATCTGCTCTGTGATTGGCTAAGAGTGAAGGGACTCCTCAAGTCTACTGATCAGTCATCATTATTAACCATTTACCTCACACATACACACATACAATCAAATAGCTTTCTCAACACATTGTGGATATTTAGCTATTCACTAATACACACACACACACACACACACACACACACACACACACATACACACCACACACAAAGACATGCACATAATTGGAGGGAAACCTCTCGGTTTCTCTGCAGGTACAAGCTTCTTGTTGGACAAAGTTCTTTCTACTTTTTTCATAAGTTTGGTTGGTTTGTCTTCTGTACTGGGAAGCATTAGGAGTTCTTGTGTTGTGCATTTAGCTTGCTGTTATTTATGTATTTTTAAATTATGTTAACTTATAACAAATAATGTTGTTTTCTGTTAGTTTGAGTTAATCGTTACTTACTTAATTAAACTTCATTTAATGGCAGTAGTCATGCTGTTGATATATATTTTCTATTTGGACGATGACCTTGTGTTGAAAAATGTTGGTGTTGTTGTTATATTGCTTTGACCGAATACATTCAGAAGGGAACTAAAGGTTTTAAATTTTACCCTTTTAGTTTAACTTCACAATTAAATGTGTCTTTGTTTAACAAGAATTGTCAAACAAGAGTTGTCTAACTTTGTTTCTTGTTGATTATGCAAGATGAAGTACTACTGTCAATTAATAAAAACATGGCTGGAAACTTAGCTAGCGCACAGCATAAATGATTTTCGTGAGAGAGGAAAAAAAAGGGTTGGGGGGCATACAAATTGGTCTGAACAGCACAGAACTTAAATAAATTGGGCTACATTTGTCCCTCATGCAGAACAAATACAAATATATATGGACTAACATTTATGAATATAAAATAAAAAACAAAGTACTAAAAATTAAAACAAATGCATTCATGCCTCTAATAAGGGATTTTCTGGTATAAGCAAGGGAACTGGCAATTCAAACTGTAATGAACTTCAAATTTCTTTCTTTTGCTGAACACAAAAGAACATACTCTTCCATACTCTGGAAGTCAATCAACTGTTTGGTTACCCATATTCTTCAAAATATCTTCTTTTGTGTTCAGCAGAAGAAAGAAATTCATACATGTTTGGAACAACTTGACGGTGAGTAAATGATGACAGGAGTTTTTTTTTGTTTTTTTTGTGAACTATCCCTTTAACCAACTAAACTGAAAGAAGATGAATTTCCCTTGCAAAGTTCAGTGCCTTGGGTTTAAAAACACGAAGTGGAAAGATTCACATAATTCCACCATCTTCTCCATGAGTTACTGTGACACCCTGGGGTTGGATACACAGGTGGCCCACATGGAGGAGGCATCTGGGGTCCACAAGGTTGTAGCGATGTCTGGTAATCGTGTTGCTGTGATGGTGGTGTGGGTGGCCCCGCCCATGAAGCCGGGTGTGTGGGGTTATTTTAGCCAATGACCCAGAGAGCACCTCAATCTCCTTACTGTCGACAGAACACTACCCTAAAGCAATTAAACAGGATTACTGAACCTCCCTCTCTCCTTCCCTCCTCCACACCTCTCCTCCTGTTGATTCCAGTTCCAGCTCTCTCTGCTATGATTATTCCATCATTCTTTATCTCAGTCCCAAATTAGATTTAAAATTAAGAGTTACAGTGGTCTGCCTATAATGTAATAATGTATTTGCATTAGGTTTATTAAAAGAAATGTCAAATTAACTGGAAATTAAAAGAAATTGTACAAAAATACACTCTTAAAAATAAAGGGTTCTTTGTTGGCTTTCCATCTTTAAAATCCATGGAACCTTTGTACAAAAGCTTCTTTAGATTATCAGAATGTTCTTCACATTGACACATTTTTTTTTTTTTTTTACTTTTAAAGAAGTGTTAAGTGAAAGGTTCTGTGATTTGGGAAACCAAAAATGGTTAATCTATGTCTTTGCTGGATTTGGAACCCTGCTTTGGAACCTTTATTTTTAAATTTGTACTTGTCAAGAATTATTTTTTTTTTTTTACAAAGTTTAGGTAAGTTTCATGAAAAGGTGAAAATTTTCACAATAGATGACAAAATAAAAATAAAAAGAATTTGGATAATTTCTGGTTGTCATAATTTAGCCCAACATACCCAGATTTAATGTAATGAGCAACTGTGTGAACTTCATACATACACAAAAAAGACAACCTGTTGCTTAAAAGTAAAACTGGCTATAGTAAAAGTAAAAAAGAAAAAAGTGAGAGAAGGTTTAGAATCATTTATTTGTAATCGGCACTTGGTTTGGTATCAGATAGGCTATTTTTGTCTGATGTAGTGGTAAATTATTTTAACAAAATAAGAGGGATCATACAAAATGCATGTTATTTTTTTGCTAGGCCTATACTGTACTGAATAAGAAATTTTACATAAAAGATGTTTACATATCCACAAGACAAAAAAAATCTGAATTTATAAAAAATAACCCCTTCAAAAGTTTACATACCCTTGATTCTTAACACTGTGTGTCATTACCTGGATGATTTTTTTCTCTTTTTTTTTTTCTCTGATGGTTGTTCTTTGTCCTGAGCAGTTAAACTGCCCAATGTTCTTCAGAAAAATCCTGCAGGTCCTCCTGAAAATTCTTCAGCTTTCCAGCATCTTTTGCATATTTTACCCCTTTCCAGCAGTGACTGTATGATTTTGAGATCCATCTTTTCACTCTGAGAATGATTAAAAAGGGAAGGTTCAAATATTCACAGATGCCCCGGAAGGAAATACGATGCATTAAGTGAAAACTTTTGAACAGGATGAAGATGTCCAAATTTTCTTATTTTGTTTAAATATTAAATTTAGTACTGCCCTTCGGAAGCAACAGAAGATACTTACATGTTTCCCGGAAGACAAATTACAAATTACCTTGATCTTCAAATTCAAAAAGTTTTCACCCCCCAGCTCGTAATGCATTGTGTTTCCTTCTGATGCATCAGTGAATGTTTAAACTTTTTTTAATAGTTGTGTTTGAGTCACTCAATTGTCCTCAGTTTGAAATGATGGATGCACACAACAATAGCACACAAACATTCAGAGTTCACGGCAATTTCACTTAGTAACAGGTCAATTTAAACGTAATGTTTGAAATATTTTCTGAATATCCCATATGGTTCTTTCTACAGGGACTTACTAAGTGTGATCTGTTTAGCCGGACTTCTCCTCTCCATCTGTACTCTCATTACTTCTTATTCTACACCATTTTTCCCCTGTCTGCTTTATTCCTATTTTTCCTATTTGTCTCTCATATATCCCTGTATGAAGTAAGGAAAAAGATGTGGAGTTCTGTCACTCTAAACACATTCACAGGCATCTCTCTCCTCTGTGCCATCTTTCATGCCCTCTCTAACACTCTACACCCACCCCCCCCCCCCCCCCCCCAACCCAACCCAACCCCTCCTGAGTGCTTCATAATCCCACTCTGACCTGAATAAAACCACATGCACTGTTATCAGAATGAAGGGTGTGTGTGTGTTTGCAATTTTTTATGTATACGTCACAGTGAACATAAATTCTTCATAAAAACATTTGTGTGTGTAACTTCTCTTAGAAATTAATAAATAAGTTAAAAAAATACACAATAGTTCAGTTTCTTTCCCTCACCCGCTCTTTCTCTATAACTGTTTCTATCTATCTATCTATCTATCTATCTATCTATCTATCTATCTATCTATCTATCTATCTATCTATCTATCTATCTATCTATCTATCTATCTATCTATCTATCTATCATCTTTCTGTCAGCTCTCATTTCCTCTAACCCTCCCCCTGTTTCTCCAGATATTAATCTCTCTCTCTGTGACAGATTGTCTGTAGTTCATACGAGAAGACAAAAGGAGAAACTGCTGAGCCTTCAATTCTAACAAATCACACACAACACATACAAACACACACTTGCTCAGAACCCACAAACCAGCTATGTAGACACATACTTAACCAGACAAATACATTATGTATAAATAGCTACATTACCAAAAAAAATGTCCCCACAAGGAAAGGATTTCGGAAAGGACACACACACACACGTTTAGTTTTTATGTTTTATGGGGACTAACCATAGACACAATGATTTTTAATCTGTACAAACTGTATATTCTTTCACCTAACCCTACCCCTAAACCTAACCACTTTCAGCATTTTTTTGTACTTTTTTCAAAAAACATTGCTTAGTATAATTTATAAGCCGTGTTCCTCATGGGAGCCAAAAATGTCCCAAGGACTAGGATTTCGGATATTGCCATCTTCAGAGAGAGAGAGAGAGAGAGAGAGAGAGAGACTTGGAACTCAATAACTGTGAATATACTATATAGCAATGCTAAAAGTGAAACCCCTTTAAGGGGCAATATAGGTTTTGAATGATAGGAATTTGTTAATTTAATTACTGGTGAAGTTAACTAAGTGCCCCAGTATAAAAACACCTGGTGAGTGAAGTGATCACACAGAAAGAAAGAAAAATCAAAGTCAGTCATTTTTCTGTTCGTTTAAAGTAAACCATATAGCTGCACTATTAAAATGTGTACAGTAAACTAATTGAAGTTCGTTATACCCTCAAGAGTGTATCATGGGAGTAGAAACACAAAAGTTCAGATGTCGAATAGTAAACTGTGTACTGGATGTAAAATAAGTTTGATTGTCTTTTCGAAGCGTGTCCTCCTACCCGTCTGCCTCTGTGCTGCTTTTGCTATGAATTCCGCTGGAAAGAAACAGCTCCCTCTGCTGTGACAAAATCATAGAGGAGACGTCAATACAGTTAATCACTTCCCAGAAGCTTTGACTTCTCTAAAGACTATAAACACTGTGATGCTTTGCTCCACCAAGAGGAATTCACAATCAAGATTCCCTTCCTCGTTCATCAATAAATATTTTACAATTTCAGCTTGTTAAAGAGACAGTTGTTGAATGAGGGATTGTCCTAAATATTTTTGTTTGCTGCCACCGCAGTATAGAGGGTATGCGCATGACGTCACCGTCGGCCGGAGTGAATGCGGTCACGCCCAAAAGTGGCAAAAAGACTGAGCGGCAGCATTTGTTTTCAGCGTGAATGCCGTGAAAATCACACAAAAC